GCTTGTGCTGAAGGCACTTTTCTGAGTCCCCTTCCCAGTCCATCCTATCTTTACTTTTTAAATGTTTTCTTTTTAAAGGTAGTGTGTGTGTGTGTGTGTGTACATATGTATAGTGTAGTGTGTGCATATGTGGTGTAATGTGTGTGTATGTGTGTGTGGTATAGTGTGCGTGTACTTGTGTGTGTGGTGTCTGTATGGTGTGTGTGTATGAGTGGTGTGGTGTAGTGTGTATGTATAGTGTAGTGTGTATGTATGTGGTGTAATGTATGTGTATGTGTGTGTGGTGTAGTGTGTGTGTATTTGTGTGTGTCTGTGTGTAGTGTGGTGTATGTGCATGTGTATTTGTCTGTAATGTGGTGTATGTGTGTGGTGTGTCTTCAAGGCATTGGATTCCTGGAGCTGGAGTTACAGGCAGGTGTGAGCTATTCATTGTAGGTACTGAAAATCAAACCCAGCAAGCAGCAAGCAGTTTAAATGAGTGAAACTTCTCTTCAGCCCTCCTCTTTGCTTTGTGAAAAGGGAAGTTATGTTCTTCTTTATACATTGACACATTTATAGTGTGTGAGAAAACCGGGACAAGGCTGGATGGGTGATGCTTCTAAACAACATTCAGTAGGTTGAAGCAGGAGGATCATGAGCTGGCTACCCTGGGCTACATAGTGAGATTCTGTCCCAAATAAATGAATATGCAACTAATAAAGTTTTAAAATACAGAGCAATGGAGTAAAGGAAGTTTGTGATGTTTTTTTGTTTGTTTGTTTGTTTCATTTTTGACACAGGGTCTCACCATGTAATTCTGGCTGGCCTGGAATTTGCTCTGTAGACCAGGCTGGTCTCCAACTAACAGAGATCCTCCTGCCTCAGCCTCCTGCACTGGGATTAAAGTAGTGAACCACCATACCAGCTGTGGAGGAGGTTTTTAAACACATAATCTGGGAAATACCACAAACATGAAAAAGATCGCATTAACATTTTGAGTCCAGATTATACCTATAATCTCAGTTCTTGATAGGCCTAGGAAGGGGATTCAAAGTTCAAGGCCAGCTTGGGCTACATGACAAAGCTCTCAAACAAAACACAATAAAAAATCAAACAAACAAACCCAATACACACACACACACACACACACACACACACACACACACACACACACACAAATTTACTATATAGTCCTAACTGTCCTGGAACTCTCTATGTTGAGTACACTGGCAAACTCACAGAGATCTGCTTGCCTCTGCCTTCCATGGAGGAACTATTTCTCTAAACATTCTCTCTCTCTCTCTCTCTCTCTCTCTCTCTCTCTCTAATATACAGATATGTATATACATGTATACATATACATATATATATATACTCTTTTCAACACATATATATGGTTGCTGAAAAGAGTATGGTGCATACAATTGTGTATATATATATATATGTATATGAACAATGCTTTTCCATAAAAATATGCAATTATTGTCACTTACATCTTCTTTTAAAAATATGTGTTTTTTACTTATTTAATGTGTATGTATGTGCACATGAGTATGAGTGTGCACCACATGTGTGCACGAGCCTGAGGAGATCAGAAGAAGGCATCAGTTCCCCTGAAACTGGAGTTACAAGCAGTTGTGATCTGTCATATGGGACTGGGAATCAAACGTGAGTCTTCTGCAAGAGCAACAAGAGCTTTTAACTGCTGAGCTGTCTCTCCAGCCCTTACATCTTATATGCATCTGATATTTATGAATATGAACACACACACACACACACACACACACACACACACACACACACACACACACGCTGAGGATTAAAGCCAGTTCATTGTGCAAGCAGGCAAGGACTCTACTTTCAGCTCAACATTCCTGTACTATGAATAAACATTTTATTCTGTATTTTTTTTCTTTTTATAATTTGTTGAACTAGTCCTCTTGCTAGGGGATGATAGATGGGCTCTTTCTAATTCTTTTGCATGTAATTGTGACCAGTATTGCTGAGATCCTCCTTAGAGCATCTATGTCACATATTCCTCAAATGACAAAAGACCGATCAAAGGGCTTTGCACTCAGAATTTTATTTAGTTGAATTTAATGTTTTTCAAGTCAGGGTTTTGCTATGTTATCTAGGCTAGCTTTAAACTCCTGGGCTCAAGCAATCTTTCTGTCTCTGTTTCCTCAGTATAGGGGGTTACAGGTCTGCACCACTGCACTCAACTCTTAGTATAGTCTAGAAAGGCATATAATTGCAGTTCTTCAGGATTTTAGGACAGTGTCTACCCCCCCTCCCCCCCCCCGTATAAAAATAGACAATGTCATTAATGTTTACCGTGATTGTGATCAGTGCAATGATCTCAGTTTTAATTTGTATTTTTTTTTATTAATGAAGTTTGACCCTTTTATCATAAACCTCACAGCCTTTTGTTCGTTAAAAAATGGAGATTTTATTAATTATGAATAACAACCAAGAGGCTGGAGAGACAGTTAAGTGGGTAATCATCCCTATGACTCATGTGTGGGGTTTTTTCTTTTCTTTTTCTTTCTTTCTTTCTTTTCTTTTCTTTTCTTTTTTTTTTTTTTTCAATTTGACATCAGCTAGAGTCACCTGTGAAGAAGGACGTCAACTGAGGAATTGCCTCCATAGGATTGGTGTGTAGGCAAGCCTGTGGGGGCTGATGATGGATGTGAGGTCCAGTCCACTGTGTTCCTGGGCAAGTAGTCCTGGGTTCTATACAAAAGGTGGCTGAGCAGACCAGGGAGAGCAATACTCTCAGCAATGCTCTTCCATGGCCTCTGCTTTAGTTCCCGCCTCGAGCTCCTGCCCTGACCCTCCTCAGTGACAGACTATCGTCTGTGAAGATGAGAGCTTTTGGTCATGGTGTTTTTCACTACAATAGAAAGCAAGTTAGGATGCTGTGTAAAATAGCTGGGCATGCTGGTGTGCTTGTATCCCATTTTGGAGAGGTGGAGACAGGTAGATAGTTCAGGAGTTGATGGCTAGCTAGCCTGGCTTACATGCTGAGTTAAAAGGTTGGTGAGAGAGTCTGTCTCAACAACAACAACAACAACAACAACAACAACAACAACAAACCAGGTAGGTAGAAGCTGACATCTGAGGTACACACAAGAATACACAAAGAGTAACAAGCAGTGCTGGGGATGTGCCTTAGTAGGAGAGAGCATGTCTAGCCTTTGAAAGTTCTCAAGTATGCAAAGAGAAAAGGAAAAAGAAGAAGGGGAACAGTGATTTGGCACAAGATTTTTATTTCTCATATACGCAGTGGGCCAACAGGCATGGGAAACAGTGCTCAACAGCCCTGACCACCAAAGTCATGTGATCGATATGAACAATATGTGATCTTATCACAGTCAGAATTGTTATCAATACAATAAGAAGTACCCAATACAGCCGGGCGGTGGTGGCGCACGCCTTTAATCCCAGCACTCGGGAGGCAGAGGCAGGCAGATCTCTGTGAGTTCGAGGCCAGCCTGGTCTCCAAAGTGAGTTCCAGGAAAGGCGCAAAGCTACACAGAGAAACCCTGTC